CTTAGCCTAGTCAAAAATTTGTTAATTTTGTTGATTGTTTCAAATAACCAACTTTTAGTTTCATTGATTTTCTGTTTTCTGTTCTGCACTGTGTTTCCCTCCACCCTAATATTTATTTTATATTTCCTTCTGCTAGCTTTGGGCTTAATTTGCTCTTCTTTTTCTAATTGCTTGAGGTGTAAAGTTAGATTAGTTTGAGACCCTTCTTCCTTTTTTCTTTTCTTTTTTTTTTAAGTAATCTCTACCCAGTGGGGTTTGAACTCAAGACCCTGAGTTCAAGAGCTTCAGGCTCCATCGACTGAGCCAGCCAGGTGTCCCCTTTCTTCCTCTTTAATGTAGGCATTTACACCTACAGATTTCCTCTCAGCACTGCTCCAGCTGCATCCCATACATTTCAGTGTGTTGTGTTTTCATTTTCTTTTGTAACTCAGAGATTTTCTAATTTCTTTTTTGATTGATTGATTTCTTTCTTTTGAGGGGGGATTTTAAAGGTAGTTCTTTTATTTTTTTATAGCAAAATAACTGCAAATTAATCATAGAACATAGTATACGTTGTGTAGATTCTCTTGTTTTCCGTATTGAAGTATTGTACATTGTATACTGACATACAGTATATTAGTTTCAGGTGAACAACATAGTGATTCCACAGTAATCCAGTCACCACCTGTCACCACACAATGTTATAACAGTATTCTTTTTTTAAATTTTAAATATATTTTTAAAAGATTTTATTTATTCATTTGAGAGGAGAGAAAGAGAAAAAGAGAGCACAAGCGGCGGGGGGGGGGGGGGGGGGGGGGGGGGGGAGAAGGAGAAACAGACTCCCTGCTGAGCAGGGAACCCCATGCAGGGCTCGATCCCAAGACCCTGAGATCATGACCTGAGCCAAAGGCAGATGTTTAACCGACTGAGCCACCCAGGTGCCCCAATGCTATAACATATTCTCGACTGTATTCCCTATGCCATACTTTTCATCTCCATGATTTATTTGTTTTACAGGTGAACTTCATTCATCCCTCCATCCCCTTCTCCTCTTGCAGCCACCACTTTCTTCTCAGTATTAATGGATCTGTTTCTGCTTTTTGTTTCTTTGTTTTGTTTTGTTTTTCAGATTCCACATAGGAGTGAAATCGCACGGTATTTGTCTTTCTCTGTCTGACTTATTTCACTCAGCACAATACACTCTAGTTTCTTTCATGTTGTTGCAAATGACAAGATCTCATTCTTTTTCAATGGCTCATATTCCAGTGTGTGTGTGTGTGTGTGTGCGTGTGTGCGTGTGTGTGTGCACGCGCGCGCGCTTTCTCCATTCATCCATCAGTGGACACTTGGGCTGCTTCCATATCTTTTGACTTCTTTTTTAACCCATTAATTCAGAATGTGTTAATTGGTATATATTTGGGAAGTGTCCACTTTTTGTTATTGATTTCTAGTTTCATTCCATTGTGATTGGAAAAGATAGCTTGTAAGATTTTAATCTTTTAAAATGTAGTGCAGTTTTGTTTGGTGTCCTAATTGATGATCTATCTTGGGAGATGTTCCTTGGGCACTTGAGAAGGAGGTACATACCTTCCGCTGTTTGTAAGTGAGTGTTCTGTGTGTGTCTGCTTGGCCTCATTGGTTTATGGTGTGCTCAGGTCCTCTGTGTCCTTGCTGATCTTCTGTCTGGTTGTTCTCTCCTTCATTGAAAGTGGGGTATGGGGCGCCCGGGTGGCTCAGTCGTTGAGCGTCTGCCTTCGGCTCAGGTCATGATCCCGGGGTCCTGGGATCGAGCCCCGCATCGGGCTCCCTGCTCACCGGGAGGCCTGCTTCTCCCTCTCCCACTCCCCCTGCTTGTGTTCCCTCTCTCGCTGTGTCTCTGTCAAATAAATAAAATCTTTAAAAAAAAGTGGGGTATTGACGTGTCTAACTATTCTTGTAGAAATGTGTATTTCTCCTTCAAATTTGTCCATTTTTGCTTCATATTCTTTTTAGGATTGTGTTGTTAGGTATGCATATGTTTATAATTATTATATCCTTTTCTGAATATATAACCTCCTCCTTTGTCTCTTAAATAATTCTTGACGTGAAGTCTATTTTCTCTGATATTAGTATATTTACCCTGGCTGTCTTTTGGTTACTACGGGCATGGAGTACCTTTTCCCATTCTTTCATTTTCAGTTTGTTTGTGTTTTTTGCCCTAAAGTGAGTTTCTGGTAGACAGCATACGGTTGCACCACTTTCAGTCCACCTGACAACCTCTGCCTTTTAACTGGAAAGTTGAATCCATTCACAAACCAGGGGGCGTCCTCCTCATGAAAGGGTGAGGAATTCGAGGGCAAGGACTGGCCTTCAGGTGTTTGTGTCCCTCTTCCAGCTCTGTCTCAGCACTTGCCACATAGAGCCCTCTCCAGGTGTTTGCTGCTGGCAGCTGGCTGCTTCTGAGAGAAGCTGGGCCTGCCGGCACAGCTGTGTCAAGCTGGGGAGGTGGCAGGGGCTGGGGGACTGGGCATCAGGAGAGGAACGGACGGGTGCAGCCCATCAGCCACAGTATTTGTTTCTGGCATCGAAAGCCGGCTACAGAGTGATCTAATGGGCGGGTTGGGGCTGGGTCTACCAGGAAAGAGGATGGGAAGAAGGAACTGCAGGTTGTGGCATCATAAGGACATCTGAAGGGTGAGTGTCCTCTTTCTGGGCCCATCCTCCACCGCTCAGCCCAGTGCGGGCTTGCTCCAGGTGACTGCAGACCAGCACAGTGGGTTCCCTGGGACTGTTGCTTGGCCTGTGAGGGTGGGTCTGGCAGGTCTAGGGAGCTTTGGGTTCAACAGACAAGAGTCTGTGAACGTGGAGAAGGAGAAGGGGGCCCAGGAAGTGTGTGGTCCTGTCCTCACCAGTTCCAATCAAAAGGTCTGGCAAGGCCTCGTGGCCGGCACAAGATACCTCTAGGACTACAACCCCTGTTTAGGAGATGTCCCTCTGTACTCCAGCCCCCACCTCTCCCTAGGGCTCCACACATGGGCACGTCCCGATTCCCAGTGCTTATAAATGAAAGGACCTGGCTTTGAACCCAGAACGCTGGATCGGCTCACCTGCACTTAACCACTAAGTTAAAGGGCCTCTGAAGAGGCAACCGCGCTCTCCTCTCCCAGATCGCTCCTCCTCTGTCTAACCCCCTATTTACACCTCATCACTAAGGCCCTTCATCCTTTGTCCCCAACCCACTGCTCCAGCCTCATCCCCTCCCCCCTCCCTCTCTCACATCCTAGGGGCTCCCCAACCTCCCCCCCACCAGAAGTCCCCACTGTTCCCTGAATGTTCTGTGTCCATACCTTCCACCAGCCCTGCTTTCTCTGCCTGGGATGCCCCTCCCCCACCTCAGTGGGGGAAGGGACGGAGACTCGTTTTTTCGGTCCTCTGAGGCCCAGCTGGGGGGACGCTTCCTCAGAGGGGCCACCCTGACTTCCCACAGGGATCCACAGCATCCTTTTTTGGAATCTTACATTCCATACTTCTGCAGGTCCCTCACAGACCCCATCCCGTGTTACATTCTACTCCCTTGGCCTTGGGGCCTGCCCTGTGGCTTTATTTCAGCTCCCAAGGTCATATCTCACCTCTGAGCAGGGACCCTGTGCTGACTCAGGGTATATAATAGCTGTTCAGTGAATATTCTGGAAGGCAGGGGGTGGGGCATGTGGGCCCAAAGGCTGGTGCCTCTGATGACTTTGCTTTTCTCTGGGCTGGGCAGGGTAGTACAGGTGTGTGGTGAAGCAGGCCTTTTCTCCATCCCTCCAGAAAATTCACTGACTGCCTCCCTGAGGCTCCATTTTTGGAGAAGGGGTGGGGCTGGGGGGGCAGAGGTGGACGGGGAGAGCAATAGTTGTTCATGCAGCCAGGTGCTCTGCCCAGGAGCACAGACCACTGTGTGGTCAAGAGGGCCCAGCATAGGGATGCCCACGAATCCCTGCCCCTCCCAGGGCCTCAGTCATCCCATCTGTCAAATGGGTACAATCATCCCTACCCCACCCAGCTCATCAAAGCTGATAGAGCTGAAAGCACTTTGGAAATAAAGACTCAGTGAATTGATTATACAAACGAAGAAGGTTGTTATTAGACCCAGGAGCAAGGTTGGAGGGAGAAACAGCCAAAATGTGGAGTAAGTGCTTAGGACTCCGGCCTTGAGCCTCTTGAGGGAAAGAGAAGCAGGTAGTGGGCAGGAAGAACAGCACCTACAGGGAGGTGGGGGCTGGGTCGCGGCTCTGCCACGGACCAGTCATTTCCCCCTGAGACTTGGTTTCCTCACCTGCACAAAGGGAGAGCATAATCCCTGCCTGGCTCCCCCCAAGGGTCTCAGTGTGACTTGGGGATGGAAGAGCTTTGCACATTGTAAAGTGCAGCGCACCCATGGAGGCTCTGGGGAGTGGAGACAGTTAAGTCTTCGCACTGAAAACACTGTTTGGGCCCACAGGGTCCGTGAGTACCCTCAGATCCCTAATGTCTGTTCCTTTTCCCTGCTGCCCTCAGCTTCCCTGGCATCCTCTGCCCTGGGGTCTGAGAGATTTGATCCTGGGGTTACTGAGGCCTGGGGAGAAGAGGAGCCCCCCACTCCCACTCTCAACCTGAGGCTGGGCCACACCAGCCACACCATTGGCAAGACCCCACTGGTGGCCTCTGATCCCCACAGATTAGCAAGTGCATTTCTTGAGATTAACAAATATACTCATGATGGGGGGAAGGGTCATGGCCCTTGGCCCCCTTTTCCCTGATTGGCGCCCTTGGAATGAGGTCTTGTGTGCCTCTAAATAGTCTGTCTCTGTGCGTCAGCTCCATTCCTGGGTGAGGGTTAGAATGACTGCTGGTGAATTCTTCCTTGCAGCCCCCAAGCGGACACCAGCCGGGGAAGGAGAGCAGCACCCACTTCCTCCTGGCACCCCCAGACCAAGGGGCCCCCACCCAGCAGAGGCTTGAACCCAGCTCGCCACTCCCCCTGCGTTGGGGTCTCAGCTCCAAAGGGACAGCAAAAAGAGAGTTGTGGGCGAACTCTGGATGGAGCACTTCAGAGCAGAGCCTTAAACAGGAAGGAGAAGGCGGCTCCACAGGAGAGCCCCAGGGCCAGGAAGAAGGTCATGAGGGTGCCGGCCACCTCCCTCTCATGTGGCAGCACCTGCCTAAAACACACAGGAGTAGGAGCTCTTAGGAAACATGGGGCCAAACCTGGACCCAGCCCCAGTGCCCTCTGCCCCCCATACAACAGGACACCTGAATTCTAGTCTGGGCTGACCCCACCTCTGGGTCACCATAATTAGGCCCTTCTCTCTGGACTTCAGTTTCCTGATCTATAAAGGGAGGCCACTGCCAAGGACATCTCTCGGGCCCTGCAGGCCCAGTATTAATAGGATTCTAGATTCCACTGCCTTCATGCTCCACAAAACATCCCAGCCTGGTCCTCCCTGTCACCTTTACTCTCTCTGGATTCTCAACTCCATTGTCCCTAGAGTAAATAGCCCATGAACCCCCACTTTGGATCAAGACTTTAGCTCCACCTTCAACTGAGAATTTTGGGAGGATCTGGGGCCTAAAGGAATGGTAGTCCGACCCATTTATTTCACAGATGGGGAAACAGGCCCAGAGGAGAGGCTCTAGAAGGAGTCCCTGGGCTACTTCGCTGGCAGGAATGCTCCCAGCTGAGGCTCCCTCTCCCAAGCTCCCGCACTTGGGCTGGCTCAGCAGGTAAGGCCTGACCTGACAGGGGAGCACCAGCGGGGCCTCGAGACAGCTAGCGCCGGGCTGGGCAGAAGCCGAATGGGCCCACTCTCGGCAGGCCCACCTCCCCGCCCTCAGGCCCTCCCTCCTGACCTCCAGACCTGGGCGCCAGGCACATGGTGAGGGACATCAGGTAACCGTTGGAAACAGCGAAGAGCAGCATGAAAGTGATGAAGTAGGCATCCTGTGGGAAGAGAATGGGCAGCCGGGACCTCTCGGGCACGTGGCACAGCATGAAGAGCGGCACGAAGAGGATGCGCAGGCAGACAAGCAGGGGCAGCAGCCGGCTGTCCTCATCTGGCTGTGGCAGAGGCTGGGCTGAGGGCCGTCCCTGGGAGCCCACCCCGCCTGGACTCTGTCTCTTCCCCTGGCCTCCTACTCCGTGTGAGCCAGTGAGGGCCCAGCACTGAGGCCTCTGGAGAGTGAGGGGTTGGGCCAAGACCACTCAGCAACCAAGGACTGGCCTGGGGCTAGCCTCCTCCACCCCTCCTGATCTCCAGCTTGCGCTCTCTGCATGGCGGAACTGGAGACCTTACACAGCCATCTTTGGCTTTCTAGCTGGGTTCCTCCAAGTACCCCATGGGGGTTCCACAGACCCCTTTGGGGCAGGCAGTGCTGCTGAATGGGATTGGAGGCTGGAGATCTAGGCCCCAGCCCAGCTGGGATCAGAGCAGGTCCTCTTTGGCCTGCTTCATTTGTTGCCTCTCCTTGGAAGATTTCATTTAGAGAAGCCGCACCTTGGCTAAAAGCAACCCAAACACTAGGAACCTTGTCCAGCCTCTCACATGGGACAGGAACCTCCATGTAAGGGTCTCTGGGCTGGGTACCGAGGGCCAGGTCCTGGGCTGGATGCTGGAGACCTAGGTCAATTGAACATGACTTCTGCTTTCAAAGAGTTCACAGTCCAAGCCCTGGCTTGCATACCTCCAGGGGTCAGGTGCTCACTACCACTTGGCCAGCTATTCTGTTGCCGGAACTAGAATGGTCCGACTTTGGGGAGATCACCTTTCTGAGCTCCTTCACACCCTCTGATCCTCAACTGCTTCCTGAAACCATCAGAGACCCCCCAGCCCAGGTGTGCTCACCCACAGGAAGTAGGAGGTCAGGCTCCGTCCCACCCAGTCCATGATGTTGAAGAGAAGGAAGCAGCAGATGGGGTTGAAGAACTGACCTGGGAGAGAAAAAGGGCTCGTCCTGGCCCCTCCTCCCTCCCCTTCCCCATCATTCCTCTTCCCTCCCTCTCCTCCTCCCCTGCCCTGCTCTCTTCTGCTTCCCAGCACTCACTCCACTTCCCAGGACTGGTGGAGCTGGTCACCATGGCCGTGATCGCAGGGAACACGGACAGAGTGACGGTGAAGACCAGCACAAGGCACAGCGCCGTCAGCCAGATCTGAGAGCCAGAGGCAGGGGTGTAAGCAGGCAGGGCCGACTAGGACCCAACACCCAGCCCCAACCTCCAAGCCCTGGCCCGGGGGCAGGACACCCGGGGCCTGGCCTCGCTGTGTTCCTGACCCACTATGACCCTGGCACCTTGAAGTGGACAAGGGGAGCACTAGGGCCCCACTCTATTCCAAGGGTCTTTAGAGAGGGCTGGAGAGAGCAGGTGGTTGGGGGCCATATCCAAGCCAAACCTTTTGGAAGACAATGAAAACTGAAGGTTTTCCTGGCTTCTGGGGCTCCTCTGGCTCCAGCTCTGGCTCCTTCTCAGCGTCCAGATCCAGAGTCAGGGCTACCTTCTGGGGGCTATTTGGGATACTGTTCTTCTCATCTGGGGCAAGAGGAGAGGGCAGCGTCATGTCTGTGACAGCCAGGCTCGATAGACGGCGATTCCCGGCAGTTGAAAACAAGTGACTCTCCTCCAGCCCGGGATGTAGGCAAAGAGAATTAACCATGGAAATATGCTAAGCTACTACCTCGGAAGCACATAGTGTGTCGGGCAGAGTTAAGCACCTGAGATGGATTATCTCACTGCTACTGCTTTCCACATAAAGAAACTGAGGCTCAGACAGTGGGAGCTGGATTAAGGCTCAGAGGGGTTAAGGCACTTGCCTGAGGTTACCCAGCTTGGACGTCGTGAGACCAGGATTCAAACAAATGCATTTGGACCCAGAACTAGTATGTTGGAGCTCTACTGTCCCCTCATTTTACACAGGAGAAAACCGAAGCTCTAAGCCAACGGCGACGACTTTCCTCCCACTGAATTTCTCCTGTGTCTGCTCACACAAGGCTACTAGGGGTGAGGACTCTAGATGGGGAGGCATCACAGAGGGGAAATGCTTCCCTGCGGAGGTAGCTTTAGCCTCCCCTGGGTCTTCCCTTCCCCAGCAGGGTCCTGAGCTCACCAGACTGGAGGAGCTCGGCTTTGGTCTCCAGCTCCTGACCTGGCGCCTGCGATGGTTTCTTGGATAGGTAGTAGCGGGCAAACTCCTGCAGAAGGAAAAGTGTTGGCCCTGCCTGGCCTGGCGAAGGTGTCTGGATCCCTCGCCACCCTGTCGACTTAGAGGCTGGAGGCCCCCAGTGGCTGACTCCTCTTGGGATCAGGTCCCTTCCTCCTCCTCCCCTGGCCGCTCTCAGGGCCTCAGACCCAGAGCTGTATCTGAGATGCTCTGAAGTGAGGCCTCGAGCCCAATACCAGGCTCACCAGGTGGGGCAGGCTCAGGTAGCACAGGATGGCCATGAAGGTGCCCACGCAGGGTGTGATGAAGTACCCCAGGGCGGAGGTCTGGGCATCCACGCCACCTGTGCAGAAACTTCAGCTGCAGAGTGGAGGCGGCTGGTTCCACTGGCTCCCACGGGGGCGGGGGGTGGGGTGGTGGTAACTCTTGTCCCACTTCCCATCATGTACTTCTCAGATTCACCTCCTGGCCTCTTCCGATCTGCTCACTGACAAACTCAGGAACCTGTGCAGGGCCCCAGCCCAGCCCTTTGCTTCTCTCATTCCTCCGTCCTTGTCATTTTTGTTGAGCACCTATTATGTGCTCATGTTTATTGCAGACTCCTTGCAGTCTGAGGACAGAGCTCTAGGAAGCATTCCAGTGGGGAAACTGACACAGGTGAAGTGACCTGTCCAGTGCCCCTGGCTGGGGAGGGGTGGAACCAGGATTCCAACCAAGTTTGCCCGAATCCTAAACCTGTCCCTCCTTCCCTGCACCCCAGGCTGCTGCCACTCCCCAGCATCAGCCTCAGGAATCCTGCCCCTGGCCCCAAGTTAACCCAGTCCTCACCTGATCACTCTCTCACTGGGCCTAAGAGCACCACTCCCTACCCCCAAACCCAACCCCCTGCTTCCCATCACCTCCATCTCTACCCAGAACCCAAGGCATCTCCCTCCTAGCACCCTCAGTCTGCTCCCCAGAATCTCAGAGGCCACCCCCGCCCTCCAGCCACCCAAGTCCACTCACTGGCCATGGACATGAGCATGGCCAGGGCAGCGAAGATCCCAGCCAGGCCCTGGCCGCTGAGGAAGAGGGTGCTGTAGGTGGAAGGCATGGTGCCCAGCTGCCCGAAGAGACTGCCCTGCAGAACTGCACAGAAGGCTGTGGAGGGAGAAGAGTGGGGGCTGCCACTCAACGAGGCAGGCCTTAGAGGCTCCCTGGAGGAGGCGGTGGCAGGGTGCACAGGAGACTCTGGACGAGGCTGGGCAGGCATGAGACTCTGGGCACCCCAGTGTAATAAGCCCCCTCCCCTTCTTCCTTCTTCTCAGGTGCAGCCATAGGTCTGAGGGGCTGGGGGCCAGGAGGCCTGATCTTAGGTCACGGTGGGTTTGGGACAAGTGACTTTTCTTCTCCCTCTGGGCCTTAATTTCTCTTTTTTTTTTTTTTTAAAGATTTTATTTATTTATTTGAGAGAGAGAATGAGATAGAGAGACAGCATGAGAGGGGAGAGGGTCAGAGGGAGAAGCAGACTCCCTGCCGAGCAGGGAGCCCGATGCGGGACCCGATCCCAGGACTCCAGGATCATGACCTGAGCCGAAGGCAGTCGCTTAACCAACTGAGCCACCCAGGCGCCCTGGGCCTTAATTTCTCATCAGGGGTAAGAGTGTTGCTGCTGCCGCTGTCTTTCCTTCTTGGATACGTTGGGCCCTTTCAGCTACAAGAGGAGGCTGGGCTGAAGCTCTGGGTGCGCAGGGTGGGGAGGTGGGGGAGGGCAGCAGTACTTACAGTTGATGAACCAAACAGAGGCCATGGTGATGGAGAAGAAGGGCCCAGGGCTCATGTCCACCTTGACCAACGCCGCCGTCAGGGCAAAGAGCAGCAGGATGACAAGCAGGCTGCCCAGAATCCGCACCATCTCAGGGATGCTGCTCATAAGTAGGGGCAGAGTGGGCAGCAGCTGGACTCCGGCCCGGCAGGGGGAGGTAGGCAAGAGATTGAGCCCAGGGGTGGACAGTGGGAGCTGGCGGGGTGGGGGGCATGCAGGGGGAGTGGAGGAAGGATGGGAGGTCTTCCCTGGGCCCAGATGGAGCTTCCTTAGCAGGGGTGGTGGAGGTACCACAGAGGGATGGCCCGCGGAGAGCCCGAGGGGCGGGGCCTCTCACCACTGGTACAAGAAGGAGTTGAGGAGTGTGAAGAGCAGCAGGGGCAGCTGGGACAGCAGCGTCACCCAGTTGTTGAAGTTGAAGGTGTCTGCAGGGCCTGTGTGGTTGGTGTCCAGAGTCCCGGTGGTGGTGTTGGCCCCTGCCAGCCGCCCCTGGAAGTACTGTCAGAATGCCGGGGGTGGGTGCACAGGGGGGGGTACAGGGTCACCCTCCAACCTACCCGGAGGAGCCTCCCAGCCTTTCCACTCTGTCTCCTCCCATGTTTGGGATTGCTCAGTTAAAGTCTGCAGGAGCTGTCTGTTTGTCCTTGCACTGATCCTAGCACCTGGCACACAGTCGGAGCTCGATGAATGTTCCCTGAATTGAGCAGCTGATGTCTGGGACAGAGCCCAAGCCCTAAGAACCCCCAACTTGGGCCTTGCTCTGTCTTTGAATCACCCTTCCTCTGCAGTGCCCTGGTTCAAGCCTCTACCCCCACTCCTGCTGCAGCTGAAGATTTATTGCGTGTCTCCTGTAAGCCAGGCCCTGGCCTAGGTCCTGACCAACTGCTTTCTCTCTGGAACACACATTCTTTAAGCCTCTGCTTAACTTCTTCCTCCCCACTGCCCACAATTCCCTGTTGCCTACAGGGCAAAGCCCCAAGATTTTGGAACATTGGGAGCCCTTCAGAACCAGATCCTGGCCTCCCTTTTGTGTTGCATCTCCTGCTCCGTCCCGCTAAGCTCTAGGTACCCCACGCTCTGGCTCCTTCTCTGAACAGTCTGGCATTCCCCTGCCTTGGTGCCTTTGCAAGGCTGTCATCTCCACCTGGAATTGGAATGCCTTCCCGCATTCCTCCCACTTCCCCCCAACCCCCACACACCAATGCTTTACCTACCCTTCTTCCAAGTTACAAATCACCTCTTCTATGGAGCAGAAGGAATTATTCCCTCCTCTGGGGACCCAAAGGACTTTGCTCCAAGCTTGGGGTGGCAGGTGCCATATTAAATTATTAATAGCTCTTTGGCACCCAGCTCCCTCTCAAGACCAGGGGTTGACTCATCTTTGGGTCTCCAGGGCCCAGCAGAGAGCCAGACACTGAAGAGACATCTGGAAAGTTGTTGCATTGAATATATATGAATAACCCAGTCCCAAAGAGAACACAAACCCCAGATTGCTGCCTTCCCTTGAGAGAATGTAAGCTCCGTGAGGGTGGAGGCTTCCTCTGTTGTGTTTCCTCCCATAGCCCCAGTGCCAAGAACAGGGCCTGGTTCACAGTAGATGCACATTATTGACTGTTTGTTGGATGAATTAATGTAATTTGTGCTATTTCAAGGAAAACCAAAGTCTTGGATAACCCACTTTGGGAGTGGATTAGCCCAGGAATGACTAGCCGGGGAATAATGACAAACAGGGGTGGGGGGTGAATAGTTCTTCGCTAGTTTCAACCCCATCCCCCATCCCCCTGCTGGTGGCCTTGCCCCTGTAGGATCTGGGCATCCCTGAAAGCTTGACCTTTCCTATCTGTGAGAGGGGCGCCTCCCCTCTCTGAGGCTCGGTGCTTCAGCGGACAAACGCACAAACTGGCATAATGAGGAGTCAAAGGCTGCACGTCCAAGGCTGATGGTGGTTGTGGCCATGAGGCGGGCACTCTAGCCGCGAGTCTCACCGGGATGGCCGTAATGAAGAAGTTCCAGGGAAGAAGCGTGCCCAGGCCCAGGATAAAGAAGCTGATCCCGACCAGGTGGTAGCTGTGGGGATCAGTCAGAAGGTCACCCTGAGGACGCAACGCCTCAGCCGCGCCCCCCCGCCTCCCAGGCCACCCCCTCCGCAGAGCGGACTACAACCCCCATCACTCCCGCTCAGGCATCCGAGGGATGCGGCTTATGGGAACTGTAGTTCCATCCAGTCTGCTTTGAGCCTTGGAGCGCCCGAAGGCAGCGGGGCTGCGTTGCCCACGGCCAGCCGGATCCCCGTCTGCACCCCACCGGGTCCCCAACTCGCCTGTCCTGTGGGGCGTCTCCTCGCGCCATGGCCGCCCAGCGGGATGCGCGGGGGTGGGAGGGAGGTGGCGTGCTGCACCTGCACCTACGCGGGGGCCCGAGGGCCGGAGGATCGCCGAGACTGGGTCTTGCGGGCAGTGGACAGAGGGAGGGGGGTCGGGTCTCCCCCGAAAGGGACGGGGGCGGGGGCGAGGCGGGAGGTGGGAAGGAAGGCCGGGACTGATTTCCAAGGGTGTCAGGCTCCACAGGCTCGGACCTCGCTCCGCCTCCGGGGCGGGGACAGAGGGTCGCACCACCCCTCCCCACCTCCTCCTGGCCCCGACTCTAGACTCTCGCGTTGGACCCTGCTCGACCTCGCGGTCCTCGGACCCACGACTACCCCTCGCGGTCCCGTGCGGCTTCGAGGCGGCTGACCCGAGAAGGTCCCCTGGGGCTCCGTGGGGCTCGGCGGGCGGGGTGGGGGAGGCAGTAGGTACCGCTCCCCTCCCCCGCCCGGGGCTGGCCAGCGGACCTGGTGCGGCTTCTTCCCCCCAAGCCAATTCGGAGGTGGTGTCAGAGCCGCGCAGCGCGGGGTAACGCGGGAGCCCTCTGAGGAGCCGGTTCGCCCAGGGGTAACCCGAGCGTCTGTCGCCAGCGGTCCTGGCTGGCTGCGCCGAGCTGGGCGCTTCGGGAGGCCAAGGAGAGGGCCAGGTGCCGGTGCTGTCGGAGCTCCCAGGCTGGTCTGGAGGACAGACGGACAGACGGGTTTTCCTCCTCCAAGCCGGTGCCTGGGGAAGCGCCGGGCCTTTGGGGCGCACTGCGGCGGCGTGGGCCCAGCTGGGGAGCCCAGGCGGGCTTCCTGGCGACAGTGTGGCTGAGCTGCATTCGGGGCAGCAAGGGGTTAAGCAAAGGCTCTGGAGGGAAGGGTGACCCGGAGATGCTCTTCCCAACCCTGCCGCTAAACAAACAACTTTCGGGCGGCCCCAGGTCACAGCACACCAAACCTATTAAGAGGCACGCACCTCCCACTTTTTTTTTTCTGTGAAAAACGTCGAAAAGATTATAGACCATTGCAATTTTGGAATTAATTTGCTCTAATTCATGCAATTTACAAGTGGGTCTGTTTGCTCTGCACTTACCGTGCATATGGGGGATGCTGGAGAAGTGAGAGGCTCTAAATCACAAATTATTTTCATAAGCAATGAAATTTTATGACCACACACCAGATTACCTGTGTGTTTCTCCAGTTGACTGTGAGTCTATGGGGCAAAGACTGTGCTTGTCTGGCTCAGTGTTTTATTATTGCAAACTTCTAGCGCTCCTGCCTGGTTGGTAGCAGGTGCTTGATAAATGCTTAGTAAATAAATGGATTGTAATAACATACAGCGATTTGAGGGAGAAAAGAGACAGCATTAAATTACACTGAAAGAGAAAGTTATTCTCTTTTCAATTTGCTTTCGAGCCTTTGGAATATGTGAAGAGGAAAGTCAACTTGGTGCTAACATGTTTCTAACACCTGTTGGTCTCTTTCCCTCTTTAACAGAGAGATGGCTTCAGGGCTTCTGCTGACAACTTTATCTAAACAGAGGTTATTAATGTTTATGTTCCTTTTCTATTTTTTAAAAAGATTTTATTTATTTGACAGAGAGAGAGAGAGAGAGAGAGAGAGAGCGCATGCGCAGGAGCACAAGCCGGGAGAGGGGCAGAGAGGGAGAAGCAGGCTCCCCACTGAGTGGGAAGCCCTATAAGGGACTGGATCCCAAGACCCTGAGATCTTGACCTGAGCTGAAGGCAGATGCTTAACCGATTGAGCCACCCAGTCTCCCCTCATTCTCTATTTTTATTGTTGCTTTATTTTTAGGGCTATTGACGCTAGCTTCGTATTTATGATAATGACATGCACTTTTCTTTGCAAAATAATATTATGTATACTATAATAAACGTTTATAAATTTATTAGAATTAAATAAAAATTAAATATTAATAAATTAAAACATAAGTTTGTTAAAATAATGAAAGATTAAATTTTTATAATTTTTTATTTTTTATAATTTATTTAATTTAGAAAGAAATGTGTTTATTTTACACCTGAAACTAATGTAACATTGTGTGTCAACTATACTTTAAGAAAAAGTATAAAAGATAAAAGATAAATTTGTTTATAATTTAATATAAACTCAAAATTAACTTCTGAAAAATGAGTCATTTAAAGACAATTAATTAGGGGTGCCCGGCTGGCTCAGTTGGGGCAGTGTGTGACCCTTGATCTCAGGCTTGTGAGTTTGAGCCCCACGTTGTGTGTAGAGATTACTTAAAAATAAAATCTTAAAAAAGCAATAAGGAAAATTAAGTAAAAGGGACTGCAGGTAGGGCACAGCTATGGCTCAGCTTTCAAAGGAAGGTCATGAGGAACTGAGCCTGGGGGACACTGCATTTGTTGAGAAGGTGGGTGAAGAAAATGAAGGCATTTCAGGGAGAGAACATCCTGTACCAAGACCAGGGACCTGGGAATGCTGGTACATTCTGAGACACACAAACAGATCCCTTTGGCAGGCCTGGGGCTGGGCGGGAGGGGGCAGGGGTGATCAGAGGGCTGAGTCTGCCGGTTAGGACAGGAGGAAAGAGTTTGGATATCAATTTAAAGGAGAGGTTCTCAACTCTCAGACTTAGTCAATCACAAATATAACAAATGTTTTGTTGCTATCCTGCAGTGAATTAATATGTAATAAAAGCTATCTCTACACCAAAAAAATGTCAATATAATGTCCTAATTGTACTACACAGGATAAGTAGAAGTATTTAATAATAAAATAGTGTGTGTTTGAATATGCAAATGCTCAGGCACAGTGGAGCAGTTGGGTGGGGCCCCTCTTCATAAAACCACGTGAATATTTTTATTTTTATTTTTTTTAATTTTTTAACCACAGTGAATCTAACGGCTGCCAGTGTGCGCACCGTGCGGGCAAGTGGTGGGCCGGCCACTCAAGGACCCTCTAGTTTGCTATTGGTGATGTGACTTTCTGAAGTGGTGACCGAGTCTTGGCAAGGCTCCAAACAAAACCAAGTGCAGCTGTCTCTCCACCTAGACAGTGGCTGTGTTACTGAAAGATGCTGTGTATTTTCAAACCTTACAAATAATACAGTGTGTCCATGCAGAAAATGGGCTTTGGGGCCAGGCTCGGAAAATCATTAGCTAAGTTTTCAAAATAAAGAGGAGATTTTATTTTTAGTGCCATTTTAGGTTTATAGAACAGTTGTAAATAGTACATAGAGTTCCATATACTCACCCTCCCATCCCGTTCCCCAGTTGCCGTAATTATTAACATCTTGCTTTATTGTGGTACATTTGTTACAATTGATGAACCCGTGTCAATACATCATTATTAAGTATAGCCCATAGTTTACACTAAGATTCACTCTGTGTTTATATGGATTTTGACAGATGCATCATGTCATGTATCCTCTATTATGGTGTTATACAGAATAATTTCACTGCCCTAAAAGTCCCTCATACGTCACCTATGCAACCCTTCCCTCAATCCCCTGAGTCCCCAGAAATTACTGATCTTTTTACTGTCAGAATAGTTTTGCCTTTTCTGAAACATCATGTAGTAGGAATCAGACAGACTGTAGCCTTTTCAGGCTGGATTCTTTCTTTCTTTCTTTCTTTGTTTTTTTTTAAGATTTTATTTATTCATCTGAGGGAGAGAGACAGAGAGAACACAAGCAGGGGGAGAGGGAGAGGGAGAAACAGACTCCCCACTGAGCAGGGAGACCCACGTGGGGTTCAATCCCAGGACCCCGGGATCATGACCTGAGCCAAAGGCAGGCGCTTAACCATCTGAGCCACCCAGGCGCCTGAGAATGGATTCTTTCACTCAGCAATATGCCTTTAAGTTTTCTCCATGTCTTTTTGTGGCTCAATAGCTCACTTTTTTTTTCTAATACTGAACAGTATTCCATTATACGGATTATTACAGTTTGTCAATCCACTTACCTAATGCAGGACATCTTGGCTGCTTCCAGTTTTGGGTGATCATGAATAAAGCTGCTGTAAACATTCATGTGCATGTGTTTGTGTGGACATACGTTTCCAACTCAATTGGGTAAATACCCAGGAGTATGACCGGTGGATCATGTGGTCAAACTATATTTAGTTTTCTAAGTAACTCTCAAACTTTCGAGTGCCTATACCATTTTGCGTTCTTACCAGCAATGAACGAGCATTCTGGTTGCTCCACATCGTCATCAGCATTTGGTATTGTCAGTGTTTTAGATTTTGTTCATTCCAATAGGTAGGTAATGGTATCCTCTTGTTTTCATTTGCAATTCCCTAATGATGTATTATGATGAGCATCTTTTCACACGCTTATTTGCCATCTGTGGATCTTCTTTTTTTTTTTTTTTTTTTTAAGATTTTATTTATTTATTTGAGAGAGAGAGAGAGAATGAGAGATAGAGAGCATGAGAGGGAAGAGGTTCAGAGGGAGAAGCAGACTCCCTGCTCAGCAGGGAGCCCGATGCGGGACTCGATCCAGGGACTCCAGGATCATGACCTGAGCCGAAGGCAGTCGCTTAACCAACTGAGCCACCCAGGCGCCCCATCTGTGGATCTTCTTTAGCAAAGTGTCTATTCAGATCTTTTGCCCACTTTTGAATTGTTTTGTTTTCTTATTGCTGAGTTTTAAGAATTCTTTGTGTATTTTGGATAGAAGTCCTTGATCAGATCTGTGTTTTGCAGGGCACCTGGGTGGCTCAGTCCATTAAGAATCGGACTCTTGATTTTGGCTCAGATCATGATCTCGGGGCTGTGAGATGGAGCCCTGCCTGGGAGTTTGCTTGTCTCTCTCCCTTTGCTTACGCCCCACCTCCTCTCATGCAAGCTCTCTTGTTCTCTCTCTCTCTCAAATAAATAAAATCTCTTTTAAAAAAGTTTCTAAGGTGTTTTTTTTTTTAAATACAGATATGTTTTTTTGCAAATATTTCCCGCCAGTCTGTGGCTTATCTCTTCATTCACTCAACAAATCCTTTCACAGAGCAGAAGGTTTTAAT